CGATTCCAATGGCCAGTGAAGGCTGAGCATCAGTACAGTAATGACAAGTCTACTTGTGGAAATGTAGGCAGGGCTAAGGAAGCCAAACCAGATATCAACACGCTTATTTTCTAGGTGGAGACACAGAAGCTTGGTGAGAAGTCGCGAGCTCAAGGTGATAGAGGTAGTTTTTAAGTGTTCAAATGGAGATTCAAGCCCGGAGACGTCTTATTCTCAACACACCAAATAAAGTAAATATTTTGCCATCCAAAATGAGTTTTCCTCTGGAACAAAACAAGCCCGAAGTTTAAAAAACCCCTTCAAAGAAAGCACAAGAGCTCCTCCCCTTAAAACCAGACCAAACGGCTTAAGGTCAAAGTTCTCTTTGTGTTCTCAAATGACTTACGGCCTGAAATAAAACCTGTCTAGTTTCTGTGAACGATACAAGACATACGATGCTTTCCCCTCTCCTCCGCAGTTTGCAAATACAATTGTATCTGGACTTTTCTAGAAACAAATTAAATGGAAGTCAGAATGACAGACACTAAATCTGCGGGCTGGTGCTCTGGGAGAGAGGACCCAGTGTGGCTGGGGGAGAGGGTCCGCAGGGTGGGGGAAGACGCTGACCTTCGATTAGAGCAAAAAGCCTGAGCGACACAGACGTGCAAACTTGATTTCTTTCCACACTGCTGGAGATAATCAGTTCACCCTAGCTGTACCTCGTAGCGAAGGACTTAATGCAGATATAGTTTCAATTCATTTGCTACTCATTGTTGATTAGACTACATAACCTCTAAATCTTCTGGGACTGCCAGATGCCTCTTAAAGTGAAGCGGCCTTCTCGGGCGCCTGGGTGGCTCGGTCGTTAGGCATCTGACTTCGGCTCAGGTCATGATCACAGTTCATGAGCTCGAGTCCCGTGTCGGGCTCTGTGCTGCCAGCTCGGAGCCTGGAACCTGCTTCAGATTCTGTGTCTCCCTCTCTCTCTGCCCCTTCCCTGCTCGTGTTCTGTCTCTCTCTGTCTCAGAAATAAATAATAAACATTAAAACAAAAAAGTTATAAAGTGAAGAGCCCTTCTGGTTTTGTGTAACAGTGATAGCGTTCGTTTTTAAAATCTTCGCGCTTCTCAGAATTCCCTCTCAACTCCCAAAGTCGTTCCTTTTTGTACACGCTGTGTGTCCCTGAGCTGTTCATGCTGGGGCCTCTTCCCGTGGCAGAAGGAAAGCTACAACTGCTAAGGTTTTAGGTGCAGCGCGCACGCCACAGCTCACACGGCGCCCGTAACTGCCGGCTAACACTTGGTCTAGTTGGGTTACCCACCTGGACGCCACAGGCATCTGAGTGGACATGTCCTGTCCTGCCTCAGCCAGCTCCCGGGGACAGAGAATGGAAGCAGAAGTGTTTGCGGGCACACGTGTGCTTTGGCTGGGGGTTTGTTGTTTTGTCTTCCATGCAAAATATTTTCTAAAAATGACTCTGAATATTTGTACTTTTATAAGCATAGCTTTAAAGCCCAGTCCTTACCCTCTAGATTGTGTGGTTAAATATTATAATATTTCATAATCATAAATGAAATTCAAGTGTGACACTTTATATGGAAAATTCTAAAATGTACCTAAATTAGATGGGTTGAGACAGTTTAGTATGTGGGAAATATCATACAGTTACATAGATTGAAAACTATATCATATCAGTCGGTTAAGCATCCGACTTTAGCTCGGGTCATGATCTCGCAGTTCGTGGGTTCAAGCCCCTCGTCGGGCTCTGTGCCGATGGCTCAGAGCCCGACGCGGGGCTCGAACTCACAAACCGTGAGATCATGACCTGAGCTGAAGTCGGACGCTTAACCGACTGCGCCACCCAGGCGCCCCTAAAAACTTTTTAATAAAAAAAGCTACATCGCAGATACTAAAAGTGTTTATTTAACTTTGATCAATAGATGGACCAAAATCAAATGGAAAAGAAATGGATTTCACATTAAAGCAGCATCCAGGCTGAAGATAAGGAAAACTTTTTTTCAGTACCATGCAATTGGTGAAGGAACCAAGTTAAATATATATATGCCTTCCCGGCCTCAAATTATTTATTAAGAAAATATATCCAAGTACTGATCTACATCCCGTTATGTTATGTGAGTTTAAATTGAATAAAATTCAGGATACAACTTAGTAGAGAAAAGTAGACTATGATTTAAAAGCACTGAAGAGGGGCGCCTGGGTGGCTCAGTCGGTTAAGCGTCCGACTTCGGCTCAGGGCATGATCTTACGGTCCGTGAGTTCGAGCCCCGCGTCGGGCTCTGTGCTGATGGCTCAGAGCCTGGAACCTGTTTCAGATTCTGTGTCTCCCTCTCTCTGACCCTCCCCCATTCATGCTTTGTCTCTCTCTGTCTCAAAAATAAATAAACATTAAAAAAATTAAAAAAAAAAAATAAAAGCACTGAAGAAATGTGTGGAGACAAAAAAGAAGGAAGGAAGGGAGGGTTGCATGAAAGAAGGAGGGAAGGGGCACCTGGGTGGCTGAGTTAAGCATCCAACTCTTGATTTCGGCTTAGGTCATGACCTCACAGTTTGTGAATTTGACCCCCACATCACTCTCTGCACAGACAGTGCAGAGCCTGCTTGAGCTTCTCCGCCTCCCTCTCTCTCTCTACCCCTCCCCTGCTCGCTCTCTCTGCCAAAGGAAATGAATGAACATTTTTTTTAAAGTTTAAAAAAAAAGAAAGTGGGAAGGTGGGGAGGGAGGGAGGGAGGAATGAGGGAGGGAAGGAGTGTGATGGCTAATTTTGTGTGTCAACTTGGCTGGGCCAAAGGGTGCCTAGATATTGGGGCAAACATTACCCTGGGTATTTCTGTGAGGGTGTTTTTGGATGAGATTAACATTTAAATTTATAGGTGAAGAAAGACTCCTTAACATGGGTGGGCCTTATCTAATCAGTTGAAGGCCTGAATAGAACAAAAAGACCAGCCTCCCCCGAGCAAGAGGGAATTTTCTAGTAGATGGCCTTCCACGTCACTGGCACCACTAGCTCTCCTGGGAGTCCAGCCTGCCGGCCCCCAGTGCAGATGGAGACTTGTCAGACTCCATAATCGCCTGAGCCATGTCCTTATAATAACTCTCCGCACACACATCCTGTTGGTTCTGTTTCTCTGAGAACCCTAATACCCCATCATTCTCATTTGGAAAAAAACACACAAAGTCGTCCTGAGATCCTCGAAAGCGAAGCTTTTGCAAAAACCTCGTCCCAAACACACATGCCTTCACTTTACCCCCGAGAGAGGCAGCCATAAAAAGAGAAGTTTTTATTAATTGGTTTTTTTGTTCAACGTTTTTTATTTATTTTTGGGACAGAGAGAGACAGAGCATGAATGGGGGAGGGGCAGAGAGAGAGGGAGACACAGAATCGGAAACAGGCTCCAGGCTCCGAGCCATCAGCCCAGAGCCTGACGCGGGGCTCGAACTCACGGACCGCTAGATCGTGACCTGGCTGAAGTCGGACGCTCAACCGACTGTGCCACCCAGGCGCCCCAAAAAGAGAAGTTTTAAAAACCGAATGGAGGGGCACCTGGGTGGCGCAGTCGGTTAAGCATCCGACTTCAGCTCAGGTCATGATCTTGCGGTCTGTGAGTTGGAGCCCTGCGTTGGGCTCTGTGCTGACAGCTCAAGCCTGTTTCAGATTCTGCGTGTCCCTCTCTCTCTCTGACCCTCCCCCATTCATGCTCTCTCTCTCTGTCTCAAAAATTAATAAATGTTAATTTAAAAAAAATAATGATAATAAATAAAATAAATAAAAACCGAATAAGACGTTAGGAAATGACTCTAAGACGCTAAGCTGTACGGAAGCCTGCGCCACCCGCTCCCTGTGCCCAAGGCCCCACACAGGCCTTGCAGGGTGCCCAAGGCAGCCGCCTCGAACGTGCTGGATCTCTCCTGACAGAGCACCGGGGCCAGGAGGTGGGTGATGCCCGGAGCGTCCCCCGTCTCCCCGAGGCTGGCACCTGCTTCTCGGCCGCCCTGGGCACCGGCACCCCACCTTCCGCGAGGATTTCCTGCGGGTCTGAGCCCGGAGACAGAGGCTGAGCGTAGCCCAACAGCAGGCACCCCTTGCTTTTCACGAACCCGCAGTCCGTCCAGACTCTCAGTTGTGTCCGGCATGTGGTCATCCTCCTTTCTGTTTTGTTCTGTAATTAATAAACTATTTTTTAGAGCAGTTTTGGGTTCACACAGCGCCCTCTGCTGCCGCCTGCAAGCACTGCGCACCCTTGTATTTGCCGGGGCCACACCTGGCGGCGATGGGGGAGGGGGAGGGAAGGGTAAAGGCCTTGTCTCGGTAAAGCAGGTATGAAGCGAGATCTACTCTACATCAGGCACCCTTCAGGCACTGCGGAAATCGCAAAGTTAAACAGAAAAGGATTTTTTGAACCTATATTCTCGTTTAACAATCTATAATAAATAATGTCAGGGATGATAGCAAAGAAAAATAGAGCAGAAAAAAGTGATAGCGACTGAGGGCCCAGCTGGTCACCAAGGGCCTCTCTCTGTTAGTGTGTTTCTGAAGCTGGTGTCGGCACTGGCCCCCGTTGATGTCGAACAGATCAGAGGGAACAGCATGTGCCTCAGAGGGTCCTGAGGCAGAGGCACAGGATAGTGAGTGAGTGAGGCCTGGGTGAAGGAGTCTCGGGGAAGGCCGGGCCCCCTCAAGAGCACTGTGCTGCCCACAGGGAGGCCCCGCTTGATTCTGGGTGGGGCGGGAAGCGTGGGCTTCCACACGGTCCCCTCACTGCGTCTCCGGAGCCTCAGCTCCCTTCCCTAGGGTTTGTGGGTGTCCTGGGACATTTGCGAGGCCGGGATGGGTGAGGCCGCCATGCCTGAGCGAAGCCTCTGTTTCCCGAACATGTTTCCTTCCTTCTTGGTTCCCTCAGGGCCTTCTACCGCACCAACTGAAACTCTAATTCTCCCTAATTGTAAAAGACTTTCTATGACCTATGAAATCCATTTCCGTTCTTCTGGGTGGTGGCAAAGACTTTATTTTCTCATCCTCCCAGGATGCAAGAGAAAATATTTACATTCCCTTTTTGCTGAAGCAGCAAAGCCATCAGGTTTCCCAATCTGGAAAGTCCCGATGTGCACGTTTGGGCCTATGCTGGAGACGCCAAAGTGAGAAGCGTGGCCTGCGTCGGAGCAGAGTTTCCAGTGCCACGGCCGGTGTGGCGCGTCTGGGACATGTCTGAGCCCCGGCCGCCCTGGCTCTGAAAGGCCTAGAAGGACCTGGAGGCGGCTCAGGAATGCTGAGATCCGGAGCTCCTCTGCACACTCACTGACCTGTTGCTACGGTGACGGTGACGTGCAGAAGCAGTGACGCCCGCCTGAGCTGCAGCCCTGTCCACAGAAGGCAGAGAAGAGAGAGCTCAGCCCCGAGAGCCAAGAGCCGGATGGGAAGTCACCTCGTGTCCATGGACAGGTAAGAGGATGGAGATGATGTGGGATCTTCGTGCAGCACAGTGTTGTTCGGCCTTGAAAACTCGGGAAATCCTGTCATATGCTGTAGCATTTAAGAACGAGGTTTTCACTGGGAAATTTACACCACGTGTTACTGGTCCCACATATGCCCCAGTGCACAGAGGCCTGAGTGCTCCCAGACCCCTTGTGTTCTGAGCCTCCGAGCCCAGAGTCTGTGTCCGCATCAGACACATGGACGCCAAGATAAGCTCCCCGATATGACACTTGGGTTACTTTAGTCTAAAAGCCAACCAATTTCTAGGCCAGCAGGTTGAATTTTTAAAATTTATTTGTTCAGTTGACCGGTTGTCTCTTCACCTAACTTTTAGAATTTAGTGATGGCGACAACTTCATCTCTTCTGAGGCAAATTACGTGTTTTTTGTCATTTGGTAATGAGAACAGTGTGGCTTATAACACTTCTGGCCCGAATGCTTACCAGAAGGATACAAACTAAGTTCAGTCCCAGTAATTAGGTCAGCCTTTACGGTTGCTGCGTTTGCCTGCTCCTCTTTGCTCGGCTCGATTTGATACTTTCGAATTTGTCTACGTTATTCAACATACGTTTTAAAAAAGCCATCCGTGTGTTCCAAAATTTTTTTTAATGCTTATTTTTGAGAGAAAGAGAGACAGAGTCTGAGCGGGGAGGGGCAGAGAGAGAGAGGGAGACACAGAACCTGAAGCAGGCTCTGAGCTGTCAGCACAGAGCCGGATGCGGAGCTTGAACCCATGAACCCCAAGATCATGACCTGAGGGGAAGTCTGACACTCAACCAACTGAGCCACCCAGACGCCCCAAGGCTGTAATCTTTTAAACCAGTTCTTGAAATCATCCACTCTTGTTTTATCTGTAGGTTCAAATCTTCCAATAAAAAGTGTAGAATTTAGGGGCGCCTGGGTGGCTCAGTCGGTTGAGCGTCCGACTTCAGCTCAGGTCATGATCTCACAGTCTGTGAGTTCGAGCCCGGCGTCGGGCTCTGTGCTGACAGCTCAGAGCCTGGAGCCTGTTTCAGATTCTGTGTGTGTGTGTCTCTCTCTCTCTCTCTGACCCTCCCCCGCTCATGCTCTGTGTCTCTCTCTCTCTCTGTCAAAAATAAAATAAAATAAACATTTAAAGAAAGTGTAGAATTTGTATTCTTTTTATTACAGGAATATGGGGCCCAGAGTCCTTGGAAGCCTGTATCTGAGAACCATCTGGATCATATTATACATTGATTTGTTCTTGGCTTTGAAAATGGTTTTAGTGTTGATGCAACCTCATTAAAAGTATCTGCTAAAACACTCTGGTACAGTCTACGTGCCTGGCTTTTGAAACCCGCCCCAGCAACAAAAATGCCCTTTGCATAATGCCCCCATCAGCTTATGGTGCACAAAAATGTAATCACAGGCTCGAGTCGCAAATCAGTCATTGTAGCACCTGAAATCTTGTAAAGAGATGAAGAAAATAAGAGTGTTTACTTCCTTGGCTATTTAAACTCACTGGTCCTTTCGAATGGATTTCCCCAACAGGACTCAGGGGACCGCAGCCCACCGGTTTGCTTGGTGATGTGAAGGGGAGAGTTCCTGCCTAGCTCCGGCCCTTCGGGGGTGGGGGGGACGACCCAGCTGACAGACTGCGTCCCAGAGCCGGGCTCGTACGTTAGCTTCAGTGGCCAGTGCCCCGTTACGCCAATGCCCTTGTAAAGGGAGGCTCCCCAAGTGCATGTAACACAAGTCTTCACAGCAAGGCGGCGTGCAAGAGTTCGTCTCATCGGAGGATCTTCGCGCTGTCCTTCCGGAGTAAAAGAGCTGAAGGCGCTTGGGTGGCAATTAAGCACGAACGCGCTCGTTTCCCGACGTTTCCCGACGGGCCGAGCGTGCGACTCTCACCCAGGGAAATCTCGCCCGGCGTCAGCGCTGCTCCGGACAGGCCATCGGAGCTTCCGCGGCGCCGATGCGGGCCGGCTCTTCCAGGGCGAGAGGAAGCCCGCCGTGGCCTTGACCGGCAGGCACGTTTCTCGGGAGGATGAGGACGAAAGGCCGCCGGCCCCAGCCCGACGTTTTGCGGGTCAGGGTAACAGGTTACACTTCGAGCAGTTCGGAGGTTTCCAATCGGTGGAAGCGCTGAGAAAGGGTAGGTGTTGGGGGTGCGAGGGGAGGAGAGTCCATTCTTCACCGAGTCTTGTTTGCCGCCTCCCGACATTCCCCGCGCCTGGCCGCCCGCGGGCCCCGGACCGGAAGTGAGGTTGCCGGGGCGGGCCCTCGAGGCTCCAGACGCCCCCGTGGGGAGAGGGGTCCCCTCTGCGAGGGACCCTGTCGGTGAGCGTCCCCGTCTGGGAGGGTCTCTGTTGGTAAAAGTTTCGTCACCCGAGCCCGGGAATGATGGTGAAAGTATTTTGCACACAGGTAAACAGGAGGCCATCCGCCTGCTTTCTCCTGTCCCCGTGGAACCCGCAACAGGAACCTCTGAGGCCTGTGCAAGCCCGCGGAAGCAGTCGTTCGACGCAGGGGCCTCACGGACCTTCCCTGATTTACACTCGCACAGGTTGGGGTTGTACGAACCACCCCTCTGCCTGGACCACCTGTTTCTCTGAAGCCACGTGAAGAAGCCCACCCCGTGAGGAGTGTGCCCAGTAGCACGGCTGGTGTCCCTCTCTCATTTTTCCAGTCCACCTGGGTTCCGCGCCTGTCCCGCGTCTGGCGGGTGGGTGGTGCCGCCCAGGCGGCACCTTCCTTCTGAGCCGTGTCGACTACACTGCCCACCAGAGGCTACCAGGAGCGCGTACGTTGACGCCTGAGGCCCAAAAGTAGCCGCAGGCTTTTTTTTTTTTTTTTTTTTTTTTGGCCCACACCCTGCTTTCAAAGAAAATGTAAATAGTTCTAACGTGTAAAATTTGAGAGATGTTCACATTAAAAACGTCTGGATTCTGGCTTCTCCAGAAGGAAAAGCAGTCGCTCCAGCCCTCCGGCATGGCAGGAGCTGCCTGGACCGAAAAATGATGACCTGATGGGTTGGTCATGAGCTCTCTGTGCCCCCAGGCCTTTCCAGGCCCGTCCACGGGCTCACCACCCAGGTCGCAGGAGGCGGGCACGTGGCCACCCTGCTCTAGAGAAACGAGGTGGCCTGGTTCTCAGAGCAACGCCCGAGTCTTGGTGAACCTGGACCACGGTGCTGCCTGAGCGTGGAGCTCCCACTCTTCCATGAGTCCCCAAGCTTCACAGACAGAGGCTCTGGCTCCCTATTATTGTCTTAATTTAAAAGATCAGTGTTGGAGGAATTTCTCCCAGAGGCGAGCCCAGCCAAGGATACAAGACAACAGAGAGGCGGGGCCTGGGACAGGAGACGCAACAACTTCAGGTTCGTGTTGTCTGGGGTAACAGATGTCAGCTTCTAGAAAGTTCTCCCATAAATTTAATGGGGGGCATGCGCGTTTAGAGAAAACAGTATTTACTGACATCACTTCAGCTAAGCGTTAGGAAAAAGTAAGAAATACAGTTTCTTATAAGATATCCGTACATTGAACAATGGGCTTGAATATTATAAGAATTTAGAATTAAAGTTATTCCTTGGGTGTAAAGTAATATAAATGATGATCATTAAAAAAAATTAGAGGCATTGATTAAATTATGTTATTTTACAGGATTTATTCAGTGCGTTAAAGGGTTTGAAAGTCCAATATATTTTTGCTGTTGACCTAAAGAGAAAAGACAAATGTTAATAGTGATTCACTTTTTGAAATGAATCTGTTTTGTTTTGTTTTGTTTTCAAATTTTTATTTAAATTCCATTTAGTTGGCATACAGTGTGATAACTGGTTTCAAGAGTAGAATTCAGTGATTCATCACTTACATACGACACCCAGTGCTCATCTCAACAAGTGCCCTCCTTAGTACCTATCCCCCCTTCCACCCCCCCCCACCCTCCTCCCTCCCATCAACCCTCAGTTTGTTCTCTATCTTTAAGAGTCTCTCATGGTTTGTGTCTGTTTTGTTCTTAATTAAAATTTTTTCCTTCGTGACACCAAAAACAGGTAACAAAAGCAAAATTTTTTAAAGAGTGGGATTATAGCAAACTACAGATCTTCGGCACAGCAAAGGAAACTGTCGACAAAATGAAAAGGCAACCTATTGAATGGGAGAAAATAGTTGCAAATCATACAAGGATTTAATGTACAAAATATATGAAGAACCATACAACCCAGTAGAAAAAAATCCAATTAAAAAATGAGCAAAGGACCTGAATGAACATTTTTCTCTGTAAAACAAATTTTTTTTAATGTTTATTCATTTTGAGAGTGTGAGTGGGGGAGGAACAGAGAAAGCGGGAGACACAGAATCCAAGGCAGGTTCCAGGTTCTGAGCTGTCAGCACAGAGCCTGACATGGGATTCGAGCCCATGAACAGTGAGATCATGACTTGAGCCAAAGTCAGATGCTTAACCCACTGAGCCACCCAGAAGTCCTCACCGGGAAGATGGGCTCTGCCAGAACCCTGTGTGGACCTCCTTGTCCCAGGGTTTCCCGCCTTCCCTTTCCATATGACTATCCATATTCAAGAAGAGAAAATAAGCAATTTAATAACTGCTTTGGTGGATGCTGGTGTACTGCCCAATCTCCCTCCCAATCTGGCCATCACTCCCCAGCTGCTGAGAGCACCTCCCTGCTGTCCACGGCTCCCAGACAGGTCCCTCCTCAGGAACTGCCCTCTGCAAAGGACACTTCCCCATCTGAGGTCACCACCACTCCTCCCTGGAAGGTGCAAGCCCCAGATCCCTTACCTCATGGCATGTCGTCTCAGAAAGGCCATCCCTGCTCAGAACTGGGCTCACTGAGGCTGCTGCTGCACCAGCATCACAGCCAACTCTCCCCTCACTCCCCTAAAAGGTGTCTTCCCAGAGGGCACCTTAAAAGATCTCACCGGCAAATCTCCCTTCGGACTCTGTTCTCTATGGAATCCCAACAACAGCTTGGCATCTGCCACCTCATTTTTTACAAGAGTGATGCAAATCTATCAAAACGTCTTGTCATAAACACTCATGTGATGGTGGCGAGATTTTCTCTTACAGGGTGGTATTAACTGACATTGACAGAGGGAAGCTATTTTTGTTCAACGGTGACAAAATTCACGAGATATCCAAACAGCAGTCAATTTCCTGGAAACAAAAACTATAAAATTAATTATTTTGAAGCATAATTGTCTGCTTTTGTCAGGTTCTTAATTACTTGAAATTTATGGCCATTAAATTCAAGGGGCTTGATTTTGACAAGTCACGTTTCCCTTTCCAGGGTGCTCGGAATGAAGAGCAATCTTGCCCTCACGCGCACTGTGAGTGGTCTTCGTCCAAGCCAGGCTGTGTCCACAAGCTTCCAGCTGACATTTGGAAGAAAGATACGCTCCTTCTGAGCTGATTTTGGAGGTAAGGCATTCTGGGTGCATCTGAGCGGCCCGGGCAGGGAGTGGGGTGAGGGACAGATGCAGAGACAACCTGGTCCCCATCTGCGCCTGACGACATCCTCCATGCCGCACTCATTCTAGAATCCATTTCAAAGTAGTGCCACTGGAGATCCAAAGGCAAGCTGGGGGAATGAGTCAAAGTGCAGCGATTTGGTGAAGAAGATGCATTTTCTATTTCTTCTGGTTGGCCAAAGCTGCACACCCTTGCAAAGCTGTGTCCCCAGGGCCCCGAGGGGAGTGTGCTCCCTTCTCAGAGTGGCACCTGCTGAACTAGAGACAGAGGTGATCGTCACCACTGGTCTGACAGGCACTTCTCCAGACCAGACTTTCCTGACCTCCGCTAGTCTAAGTAGATGATTCGGGTCACAGTAAGGGTTTCCAACAGTGCGTGGGCTTCCTCCGGGAATGTGGCAGGGAGTTCGGCATTTCTTTACCCCGAACCCCTTGAAGAAAGTCACCAGTGGGTCAGCGAGAGCCATGTGACCCGCTCACACTCTGCAAAAGAATCCAGGAGGGCAGAAAGCAAGCCATGTATCAGTGGCACAGAGTCACAGTGAGTGGAGACAGGCTGTTGTGTGAGCCAGTCCAGATCAGCAGAACTCTGCTGTGAAAGAAGGAGGGAGGCAGGGAGGGCAGAAGGAAGGAAGGAAGAAGGAGGGAAGGGAGGAGGAAAGAAAGGAAGGGAGGGAGGGAAGGAGGGAGAGAAGGGAAGAAAGGGCAAACCATTGCCAGTATTTTAAAAAAAATCCTGCATTTTGCCGCCTATAGGAGTCATACTTGAAATAAAAATTGTAAGTGTAAGAGAACAAACTGAGGGTTGCTGGAGGGGACGCTGGGGGAGGGGATTGGCTAAAGGGGGGATGGGCACTAAGGAGGACACTTGCTGGGATGAGCACTGGGTGTTGTATGTAAGTGGTGAATCACTAAATTCTGTTCCTGAAACCATTATTACACTATATGTTAACTAACTTGGATGTAAATTAAAAAAATAATCATTAAAAAAAAATTGTAAGTGTAGGGGCACCTGGATGGCTCAGTCGCTTAAGCATCCCACTCTTGATTTCAGCTCAGGACATGATTTCACAGTTCGTGAGTTCGAGCCCCACGTCAGTCTCTGTGCTGAGTGTGCAGAGCCTGCTTGGGACTCTCCTGCTCTCCCTCTCTCTGCCTCTCCCCTGCTCATGCGCGCACATGCACTCTCTGTCTCCCTCTGTCTCCCTCTCTCTCCCTCCCTCTCCCTCCCTCTCCCTCTGTCTCTCTCCCTCTCTCTCTCTCCCTCTCTCTCTCTCTCCCTCAAATAAAGAAATAAACTTCAAAAAATTTGTAAGTGTAATAGAAAGGAAATGTGCCCTGCGGGTGCTGACGGAAAGCACCAGGGAAGATGTATTCTTACAAGGGTCCCTGAGAGACAATGGGCATCCGTGAACATGCAGACGGATGGAATACTTGAAATGATACTGAATTCTTTTGGCCTCAGAGACACGAACAGGCCACTGAATAACGATGGTGCCTGTCATACCGTCCCGATGACAGGAGACCCAGCCTTGGTGCGGAGGTGATCCCCCAGAATAAGTCCATAAGCCAAGGTAGAGTTTAGTGTCAGGCCAAGGACTCTGGTGGGAATCCGAGACGTGCGGGTCTCACGGGAGGCCGGCAAGCTTCACCCTGCCTGACCCAGCCTCTGGGCATAAGCTTAACTTGCAACAGGCCCGGACATTCCGCAGATGGGAACGGAAACGTTTCCCGTGGTGTGTGATCTACTTTACCAAGTGTGCCGACGGCCGGGTGCACACAGCGAGGTGCGTCCGTGATGGGCTTCCTCTTTCTCCCCGTGCTCACTCTTGTCCCCTCCCTGATTTAGCCCCGGCTCAATACAGACATTCCTTCTGAGGATTTATTTTTAAACTGATACTATTATGTCCCCAAAAGACAACTGCAGAAAGATCAGCAGTATACTGAGAATAAATTGGCAGATTCCCTGATGACAGCTAGCTTCCATGATACAAAAAGTAAAGATATCGCTACGTAAGGTAAATTGTCCACACAACTTAGAGATGAGGTCTCCTTCTAAAAGTGCCATTGTGGGGCGCCTGGGTGGTGCAGTCGGTTAAGCGTCCGACTTCAGCCAGGTCACGATCTCGCGGTCCGTGAGTTCGAGCCCCGCGTCGGGCTCTGGGCTGATGGCTTGGAGCCTGGAGCCTGTTTCCGATTCTGTGTCTCCCTCTCTCTCTGCCCCTCCCCCGTTCATGCTCTGTCTCTCTCTGTCCCAAAATAAATAAAAAACGTTGAAAAAAAAAGTTTTAAAGTGCCATTGTAACCCCCCTAACCCATCACCTGTAACCGCGTAGCTGTAGGCATTCGGGAATGTCCAGGTGTGTCCAAACGGCATAAATCCTGTGGAGGAGAAGCAGATGGCTTGGGCTCAAAGGTGACTGTCACTCAGGGACGCTGAAATCACATGTATGTTGCATCCTGTCTGAAGAGCCAGGATTAGGCAACGAGAAATAACTACCAGAACTGTGGACGGAGGGCCAACAAAGTCAGAACTTGCCCAAGTTCCAACCACATACGGAGCAAGGCTGTGCTGCCGGCAGGCACTTGAGGGCCCGGCACAGGAATGACGTACGCATCGGCCTCCGCAGGGCAGGGCCCTCAGCTTCTGGTTCAGAGTTGCGTCCTAAGCTGCTTGCCACCTGGCAAGATGCCATCCGAGCATCTTACATGCATTTGTCCGCTACCCAAAACAGTCTACTAAGAATAACTTGGGCTTCCAGTACTGAAGGGCGAATGTGTTGAAGAGAAGAACTGAACTTCTGTCCCTTACTCACTGGGACAGTAATAAACTGGTGTTTTGGTTTATACATCAGTCTCGAGAGTTTGGTTAACTTGAGTTTAACTATAGATGCCATCCTGGAGTAGAGGCCCTACCAGGGAGCCAGTTCCCAGGAGAACACTGTCTGCACTCACCTTCTTTGGCATCAGAGAGGGGCCGAGACTTTAACACTGATGAAAATGACAGAAAATTCAGAATCAGCCCTCCGTCAATACCCCGAAGATCCTCCCTGTATATCATTTTCCATCAGAAACCGTTTTCTCCAAGGAAGAAAGTTCCTACACGTTTTGTTTTCTGGGTCACCCTCAGCACAAGCCTCTCCTTCAGAACTAGATATCCCGGAGGGAGGATTTAGTAATACACAGAGGCCCTCATTCCCCTTGAAAAAAACTGTCACTTATTTTATTGTAAATTATCTAAATCATAGTTTAATTCATTTCAAGTCGCCAGTAGCAATATTGCAAACTATTCTGCCTGAGCGAGTATACACAAAGTATGGATTCATGAATTCATCAAGATAAGCCTCAGGATCAGTAATAATACCAGAAATAAGGAACTTATTTTAAATAATGACCATAGTTTCTGGAACTCTCCTCACCTTGTATTTGTCTAAAAAGCTTTTATTTCTACCCACTCAATTTTTAATACTCAACATTGGTACAAAACAGTTCTTCCAGATATGGTTCTTTCAAAATGATTTTATTATACATTTAGTTCTCCTAAAATGTGCCCAATTGACAAACTACAGATGTCTCAACTCTAAATGTGTAAAGTTGAAAGTTTATTAGAAAATTAAGTTTGGGGGCACCTGGGTGGCTCAGTCAGTTAAGTGTCTGACTCCAGCTCAGGTCATGATCTTGTGGTTCATGAGTTCGAGCCCTGCATCTGGCTCTGTGCTGACAGCTCAGAACCTGGAGCCTGCTTCGGATTCTGTGTCTCCCTCTCATTCTCTCTCTCTCTCTCTCTCTCTCTCTCTCTCTCTCTCTCTCTCTTTCAAAAATCAATTAACATTAAAAAATTAAAAAATAAAAATAAATAGGGGTACCTGGATGGCTCAGTCAGTTAAGCATCCGACTTCAGCTCAGGTGGTTAAGCCTCAGACTTGGGCTGAGATCATGATCTCGCGGTTCATGGGTTCGAGCGCCGCACTGGGCTCTGTGCTGACAGCTCAGAGCCTGAAACCTGCTTCGGATTCTGTGTCTCCCTCTCTCTCTGCCCCTCCCCAGCTCGAGTTCTGTCTCCCACCCCCTTAAAAATAAATAAACATTTAAAAATAAAGGGAAAAAAAAGAGATAGGTTTAGGCAAATCATTAGCCCTGAGGGCCTGGGTCAGAGCTACAAACCTTGGAAGGACTGTGAAACCATGAGATTTGAAAAAAGGAAGGAAAAAAAATGTGCATTCCAGAGCTTATCTGTTCAACTGTTTACAAATATAGCCTTGGATCATGAACTTGACTGCAGCTTTGTCTGGTAGAGTTGTATGCCCTCAACAAATGTTCATTGGGTGTCTGGGGGGTGGGGGGCCCACAGGCCAGTCTCAGTCCTTGCCTTCCGCACCCTTTAACTTTAGGGGAAGAGACAAAAAATGACAAACATGAAGTCGTATAAGGCCAGAGCTGTGAACAGAAATCTGGCAGGTAGGAAAACCCAGGAGTCAGGCGGAGGTGACCTCTGGCAGAGAGCTAAGCGAGGAGCGCGCCCACATCGAGCAGAAGAGGAACAAATCACAGACGTAATTCTAGATTTTCTAGTTACTACATTATGAAACTAAAAAGAAACAGGTGGGCTTAGTTTTAATACTGTAGAGACACCTGGGGGGGGGGAGCTCAGTGGGTTAAGCAGCCAACTCTTGATTTCGGCTCTGGTCATGATTTCACGCGGGATTGAACCCCGTATCGGGTTCTGCGCTGACAACGTGGAGCCTGCTTGGGATTTTCTTTCTCCCCCCACCCCTCTCCTCCCCTCCCCCACTCACTTTTTCTCTCTCAAAATAAATATATAAACTTAAAATTTTTTTATTTAATACTGTATTCTATTTAACCCAATATACCAAAATGTTGTTGTTTTAACATGTAATTGACATAGACAATTTTATTGAGATTTTTACTAAGTGAACATGATTGCAACTG